AGAAACTCTTTTATGATTTCATAGTTCATAATACCTTAATGGAAATTAATGTAAATATTTTACTGATGAAATATGTTTTCCCCTGTATCTCTTTTCACATATGCAAATGCTTAGCAATCTTGGGTGGTTTTAGAAAGTGACGGTTTCTCTTTCTCGGTGCTTTGACCTAATTTTTTTCTCTGCCAACATCAATTTAAGTCTATTGAAACAGAAACCTTTGAAACATTATTAGAAGCTGAAAGGCATCCCTACATGCTTTATGATTCTTAGACTGAGTGGGTTTGCTTGAGATTAAATTTGCTTTTTCTTTTTTTTTTTTTGACACAGAATTTTGCTGTTGCCCAGGCTAGAGTGCAATGGCGTGATCTCGGCTCACTGCAGCCTCTACCTCCCAGGTTCAAGCAATTCTCCTGCCTCAGCTTCTCGAGTAGCTGGGATTACAGGCGCCCGCCACCACACCTGGCTAATATTTTTTTACTTTTAGTAGGGACGGGGATCTCATCATGCTGACCAGGCTGGTCTCAAACTCCTGACCTCAAGTGATCTGCCCGCCTTGGCCTCCCAAAGTGCTGGGATTATAGGCATGAGCCACCGTGGCTGGCCTGAGGTTAAATTTGAAAGTATCATCTTGTCCGTGTGACTCTTTCAAAGGTTCTCTAATCATCAGCGCATGTTGAGCTCTCCTAGCCCTGCTGCCTGAATTAGCTGCAACGGTGAGGCTGAGGAGGAGTGGGTGAGGCTAAACATATCCAATGGCCAGGCAAAATACATAGGCAGTACGGGAAGATAGGACTAGGGGTTAAAACTGGTGATGGGAGAAACAAAGAAAGATAAGCCATTCATAACACTTTTCTCGGTTCTTTTATGAGAGAGAGGTGGGCAAGTGTCATTCTGCAGCTATGGGATAAGTAGGCGCCTATGCCTCTTCGTTTTCTCTAAATTCTATCTTAAAGTGGAGCCCTAAATTGTGATAGTAGGGAATGGGTGTCACAGTGGCCATAGGGAGCTTCCAGTCTCTAGGGACTACCTTTTTGGAATGGCAGGTACACTTTCCATTAATGCAGGACCAGCATTTGAAAATACTGAATAGGTGAACAATGAATACTCCGTGGAGGGAGGTCATGGTGTCTTGTTGGGCTTCTCAGAGACATTTCAAAGGTCTTCTAAAGGTACAATAAAAATTTCATTAAAAAGATAAAATGGATTTGGTCATAAGAAAACACTAAATGAAATAGTTATTACTTACATGCATTTTGTCTTAGCCTATTTAGGCTGCTATAACAAAATGAGCATAAACTAGGTAGCTTACAAACAGAGAAACTTATTTCTCATGATTCTGGAGGCTGGAAAGTCCCAGATCAAGTCACTGGCAGATTTGATGCCTGGAGGACCTGCTTCCTGGTTCCGAGATGGTGCCTTCTCCGGGTGTCCTCACTTGGGGGAAGGGCAAGCCATCTCCCTTGGTCGTCTTTTATAAGAGTACTAATCCTGTTCATGAAGGCTGCTCCCTCTTGATCTTGTCACATTCTAAAAACCCCACCTCCTAACACCATCAAGTTGGGGATTAGGTTTCAGCATATGAATGTGGAGGGGGCCACAAACATTCCGACAATTGTGAAATTTGTAAAAGGATTTAAAATTTTCCCTTTCACCTTTCCATGTTAGAAGAGTGGGAATAGCTTTCTGCTGAGCATTTTGCCTGCTTGGTCTCAGACTTTTCATTGCTGTACCTGGATTTCTAGTTGTTAGGGGTGTGTGGGAAGACAGCACCGAGGGGGTGCAGAGGAAAGGACTGGTTTTCCGAATGTCCTCATCGGGGTGGGGGGCAGGATCTGGCTCTGTCACCCAGGCTGGAGTGCAGTGGCGCAATCTCAGCTCAGTGCAACCTCCACCTCCCGGGCTCAAGCCATCTGCCCGTCTCAGCCTCCCAAGTAGCTGGGACTGCAGACGCACACCATTACACCAAGCTAATTTTTGTATTTTTGTAGAGATGGAGTTTCACCATGTTGTCCAGGCTGGTCTGGAACTCCTGGGCTCAAGTGATCCACCCACCTCACCTTTCCAAAGTGCTAGGATTATAGGCGTGAGTCATCGTGCCCAGCCTGGATGTCCACATTTTTTAATGAAGGTATACAAACTACTGTGTTATAGAAAAGTCCGAGTTTTTTTCTGGTCCTCACTCTCCAGAACTTCCTAACTTCCTTGCTGATGGTTTGTGAGGCCAGGTATCAATGAGGTGGTTGTAATTCAGTGTGTTCTGACAAGATCAAGTTGAGAAGTGTAACGATTTTGATAATAAAAGTGCCAAACAATTCTTCATATCAATAGAATCCTGGTTGACTCAACAGGCAGATGATGATTCAGAAATCCTTCCTCCTAGTCCCTTGTTGTTTCTACTAGGTTAACTTATTTGAAAAAAAAAAAAAAAAAAAGTCCAAAATGCCAGTACACTATATGAGCATTTCTCATTGCAGAAAAAGCACTGATTCTACATCTGCTTAGGTTTGTGCAGGGCCCTGACACAAACAGAAGGATGGTGCACCCCCATGATTCATGTACTTCCCGTCTTCAGCTTGCCATTCAGTCCTGGTGGGAGGATCAAGGGAGATGGCACAGACGTCGAGGACTGAGCCCAAGCCCCTGTGGGGACAACAATAAAAACCATTCCTGGAATGGAATGTCCTGTGTGCGAAGGCCTGGAAGTATTGGTGAGCACGGTGATTTGAGGATACTGCAAGGAGTTCTTTGTGACTAAAGCATAAGGTACTAGCAGGAGCATGGTGGGAAAGGAAACTTTAAGGAGGTCTTTCATGAAGGACCTTAAATGCTGTGGAGAGTAGTCTCAGTTTTACCTCACAGCCAGTAGGTTGCCATTCAAGAATTTTAGACTGGGTGCAGTGGCTCAAGCCTGTAATCCTAGTCCGTTGGGAGGCTGAGGCGGGTGGACCACCTGAGTTCAGGAGTTCGAGACCAGCCTGGGCAACACAGTGTGTTTTGATCTCTATCAAAATACAAGAAATTAGCTGGGCATGGCAGCATACACCTATACACCTATAATCCCAGCTGCTCAGGAGGCTGAGACAGGAGAATCTCTTTTTTTTTTTTTTTTTTTTGAGACGGAGTCTCGCTCTGTTGCCCAGGCTGGAGTGCTGTGGCGACAGGAGAATCTCTTGAACCTGGGTGGTGGAAGTTGCAGTGAGCCAAGATCGTGCCATTGCACTCCAACCTGGGCAACAAAGCAACACTCCTCTCAAAAAAACAAAAAAAAAAACAAACAAAAAACAGAAAAGAAAAAAGAATTTGATATAGGAATAACATGCTTACAATCTGGCTACATGGCCTAGTCCCTTGTTGTTTCTACTAGGTTAACTTATTTGAAAAAAAAAAAAAAAAGTCCAAAATGCCAGTACACTATATGAGCATTTCTCATTGCAGAAAAAGCACTGATTCTACATCTGCTTAGGTTTGTGCAGGGCCCTGACACAAACAGAAGGATGGTGCACCCCCATGATTCATGTACTTCCCGTCTTCAGCTTGCCATTCAGTCCTGGTGGGAGGATCAAGGGAGATGGCACAGACGTCGAGGACTGAGCCCAAGCCCCTGTGGGGACAACAATAAAAACCATTCCTGGAATGGAATGTCCTGTGTGCGAAGGCCTGGAAGTATTGGTGAGCACGGTGATTTGAGGATACTGCAAGGAGTTCTTTGTGACTAAAGCATAAGGTACTAGCAGGAGCATGGTGGGAAAGGAAACTTTAAGGAGGTCTTTCATGAAGGACCTTAAATGCTGTGGAGAGTAGTCTCAGTTTTACCTCACAGCCAGTAGGTTGCCATTCAAGAATTTTAGACTGGGTGCAGTGGCTCAAGCCTGTAATCCTAGTCCGTTGGGAGGCTGAGGCGGGTGGACCACCTGAGTTCAGGAGTTCGAGACCAGCCTGGGCAACACAGTGTGTTTTGATCTCTACCAAAATACAAGAAATTAGCTGGGCATGGCAGCATACACCTATACACCTATAATCCCAGCTGCTCAGGAGGCTGAGACAGGAGAATCTCTTTTTTTTTTTTTTTTTTTTGAGACGGAGTCTCGCTCTGTTGCCCAGGCTGGAGTGCTGTGGCGACAGGAGAATCTCTTGAACCTGGGTGGTGGAAGTTGCAGTGAGCCAAGATCGTGCCATTGCACTCCAACCTGGGCAACAAAGCAACACTCCTCTCAAAAAAACAAAAACAAAAACAAACAAAAAACAGAAAAGAAAAAAGAATTTGATATAGGAATAACATGCTTACAATCTGGCTACATGGTAAGATACCTAAACATAAACAATAAAATAACCAATGGCATCCAAGAAGTGTCTGAAGACAATGTTAAATGGTTGGGACAGTGTTGAGCGACAGTCATGGAGAAGATAAATTGCTGTAAGTTAAGGCTATCAGGGAACTCTTCCTGAAGGAAGAAAGAATAACGCTACACCTTGAAGAACAGATAGAAGAAAGGGAGATGCTTCATTGATGCTGTGGTAGGGGATTTCTGTTGTGCACAAAGATAAAGGCTAATGGAAAAAAGCAGACAATTTTTTTTCCTGGTCACATTGCAGTAGATGTTGCCACATCTTCCCATGAGAGGGGAAGTATAAGTGGGCATGGCCCAAGGAACAGTGGAAACGATGTGGCTGAGTGTTTCTAGAGAAAGGACCTCAGGATGGGATGATGAACTGAGAATCCACGTTAGGCAATGTTGGCTTATTCCAGCTTCGGGACAAGTGTTAAACACTCCAGAGTTTCAGAGTATTCACTTACTGAATTCATTTAACCCCTTAAAGGGGTGTCTAGAACCTACTCAGTGCAAGCATTGAGCTACATCTTGGCCAGATGTCTCTCACGTGGGCACCTAATTTGCTTGCCATAATGGCTTCTCTATCCTGAAAGACCTTTCCCCAGAGGGTGTGAAAATTTCTCTGTTTTTCTGGGACTGTTGATTCACAGCTACTCCTTGATGCCATCAAGCCTGATAAATGCCATGGATTCTTCTAAGAAATCAGAACCCTTGGCCATCAGCACGAATCGTATTCCTGGGGATGAATTTGCTCTAGAACCAGTATTTAGCTTTGCTGGAAGTTATTCCTGCCCTTTCTAGGCCTAACCATACAAGGAGATGTGAATTTTTCCTTTTTGATAAGAGGAAAAGCCATAACAAAAGGAACCCAACCCTAAGCCTGGAACAAATCAGTCTCCAAGCAAAAGGAATTTTACCAGTTTGTGGGACTTTGCCAACATTTCCAACAGTAGTGGGAAATCAATATATTAACTCAGCTAGTAAATAATCCTACAATGGAACAGGTGCTGCCTTGGGGATACAGATGTGAACAAAAGAGCATGGTACCTGCCCTCCTGAAATTTACAGATGGTGAAGGAAAGGCAAGTAAACAATTTGGCAATCAACAGATGTTTTTGCTTATGTGTACTGTTTTTCTAAAGAGCCCTGGTCTGAGCTTTGGGTGAGGTTCAGCTGCTGCTGTGTGCTAGCTGTGTGATTGAATTCTTCTGAGATAAATTTTTAAACGATAAAACGTGACCAAAGCGCAGGAAAAGCAAAGAGCCCCGTGGTTTAATACAATTGAGCAGCACAGGCTAGATTTAAAGCATCTGAGAAGACAGGGTTCCCTGCTTTTGAAGAACTTTGATTATACTCTTCAAGCTAAAGCTGTGCACCTCACACTGCCTTGATGAGTAAAGAACTTTTCTTTCCACCTGTTCAGATTTGACAGCGCTACGCCACATGATTTAGTCTGGACTTAGCAAACACCTACCGATGACCGAGCTGCTGTAACCATGGAGTGCTCGTCAGCATTGCCCCTCTTCGCTCGTCTTTGTCTAGGCAGGATTCTCCTTTACTCTGATTGGAATCGCAGCCGTTTCTGCTCAGGTTGGAGGTGTGTGGACGCCGGCACGGTGCCTGCCTCCCCTGGGTCAGCTTGAGATCTTGCTATCATTTCATTCCACAAGCAACACAACTCCTCTCAGTTTAAAAGGAAAAGAGGGAGAAACATAATTGAACATAGCAGTCCCCAGTGCTTGCTTAAATGCTCAATGAGGGGCCTATGTTTTTAAGAGCACATTCTAGGGGAAATTCTGAAATTGCAAGCTGCAGCCCTTTCTCTCTTCGTGCTCAGTTTGGCTGATTTCCAAAGCACTGAGGCCAGCAATTGAGGGACTGAAATGTAATCGGTGGTGATACGTTGGTGCCACATGAAACATTCTCTGCTTCCAAAGGCTCCAGAGGCTGTGGGAAGCAGCACATCAGCGAGAGCTCCTGGCTGCTGGACTCCGCAGGGAGGGAAGGAAGATTGGTCACAATGGTAAGAAACTCTGGAGTTTTCTACAGACCTAGTTTGTTACCTGGGAAAGAATACGTAGCCTCTGCTGGTGAAAATGGCTGTTGGTAGCATGAGCCTGAACAGTCACCTGAGCTCTGAGGCACTGTCCATGTTTTATTAGAAGGGCAGGAACACTCTTTTCACCAGAGCACTGATTTTTTTTCTTTGAAAAATGATTCATGTCAGAGGTAATGGTGCCTTGTAATTAATAAGGACTGTTTGCTGGGCTCTGCGGGGGAAGGACAGTCCTACGGTGACCTCAGATGTGAACCCCGATTCCTGTAGTCTCTGAAGTGTGCTCTTTCCTCTGAAAATAATTGTAATTTCCGTGAGATTCTTCAAAGAAATAGTTGTCTGTGTTCTCGATGTGTTTGTGTGGGGGTACAAACCCATTCATGCTTAAGCAGCTTGCTTTGAATTGTCGCCGTTGCTGTGAGCTTCACTGTTTACTGGAGGCATTAAGAATTACTAGAGCAAACCTCCACGTGATTTTTGTTTTTCTTTTGAAACTATCATAGGCAGCAACAACAGGAACCCAAGTTTTCAAAGAAAGAATGATCTGACTTTGGAGGAAGTTTGTTTGATTCAATCCAGTAAAGCAAACGTTGCCAGGGTGAGGTGATCCTTAATGTAAACATGAGGTCTTTGGAGGAGGCTTTAGAATTCACCGTGGTAGTGACAATGTGCTTATCTCCTGGTCTCTGCTCTCTGCGTGTCTTTTCCAAGTGTCTCCTCCCAATCACCCATGATACAAGGAGGAAAACACGGGAGATGGGAGGAAGAACTGGCGTGCAACAGTGGGGCCACTAAACATTTTCTCGAAAGGATTAATGGACGAAGGACATTGATAATAAATAAGATTACATAACGTTGAGGAGAAAATAAAGCCTATTACTGTTGAGAGAGAATGCCTGAAATATACTTATTTGACTGCACAGCTGATGTGTGGGAAATGATTTTTCTGTTTATAATCCAGATGAATGAAGAGACTGGTGATGAAGGGAGGGTGGGAATTTTTAGAAGTGAGTTTGCCTTTCCAACAACTCAGAAAGGGGGAAATTGGAAACCAGATCTATGGGAATCATTCATCTCATTCCCTGCCTTCACGCACCATCCCTAGATCATTCCTAGGGACACAGACCAGATAAATCACTGCCAAGACAAAGGTCAGATTTTTACCTCTTTAGTTGACACCTGGTACCTCTTATCTCATCTATTTGAGGAGTTCTTAGCTGTTGAGAAGTCAAAATAAACTCACCTGTTTCTCCGTCAGCAGGATGGGTCAAAATAAATAATCCGCATATCTAGCATGAGGATTAAATGGGACTCTGAGTGCTTTGAAATGTTTTGCCTGAATGCTTGAGGCAGAATCATTCCTTTCTTCCCTTCATTAGCCTGAGAACATTCCTTTAAGGATTATAAAGGACCAGGCTGAGATGCAGAGTCCCTCTCCCGCCAGCACACTTTGAGTGTGGGCATAAATATATGCATAGTGATATTCTTTTCCAATATTCAGGGAGAAATGAGGAGCAGGTCAGGGGCTGAGATCATTGGAGTACAATCCGATGAAAGTGTACAGACCTCCAAAGAGAGTGAACTTCTCTTTGGGGTTGTGGGAGGGTGCGGTGGGAACTAACAGTGACTGCAAGCTGTTTACATTCAGGCCATCCTCTGGTTATTTTCATTCATTACTGTTTAAAAGGTTGGAAAAAAAGTACCCAATTTTACATTACAATAAAAGCTTTGGTCTAACTGAGCTCTTCTTAATGACAGACACTAAAATGGCAATGATTTAACAGGGAAGGCATTCTGGCCACCTGGCTTTTGCCTAGGCAAACATATTTCACCTTTCATTTTAGTAAGAGATCACTAACTGGAAGGGGAGTGAATCTATAGATTGGATTTTCATTAAGTCCTTTCCATGATGAAAAGGAAACCAATGATGTTTCTCATCACACAAATGTGATCACTTATCTTACCCAGGATAAAAGACACTCACTGTGTTTAAAACACTCTCCTTGACCTCATTAGAATCAGGAGCATGTCAGAACTTGCTGGATGTTATACCAAATAAGGCAGCCCAGCTTGGGCTCTGGCCTCTGATTACTTTTTAAATTTTATTTACAAATTTAAAGGAAATGCAAATAATTAAATCCATATTACATAATTGCGGATGACTTTACATTATTTCAAAGCAAGGGAAATGTGTGGAAGTTCTCAATATTTTACAAATAGCGAGGATATAACGTGCTATGTACTGAGTGCTTTAAACCCTTTAGGAATCCCCATTCTTGCTTTTAAGTATGTATGTTAAAATTACTACCCCTGTTGCATTGAGGTAAGGCACACAGAGTTCTATGCTTTCTGAAGGGCACACAGCTAGTGAGAGGTAATGCCAGGGTGGTAATAAATGGCTGCTGGCTCTGGGGCCCTCACTCCTGAAACCACCTCCTCCTATGGCCTTTCAAAGTAGAGAGGAAGAGAGCAGGGGCTAGATGGGCGCCTGACAGCAAGTCACAGAAACTTTCAGTGCCCCAGCCTCGACATTTCAACTCACCTTTGACATTTCTCTCTTCCTGTTCTTCCTTCCCAATGTCACCTGTCTTAGTTCTTCCTTCTCAATGTCACCTGTCTTAGTTCTTCCTTCCCGATGTCACCTGTCTTAGTTCTTCCTTCCCGATGTCACCTGTCTTAGTTCTTCCTTCCCGATGTCACCTGTCTTAGTTCTTCCTTCCCAGTGTCACCTGTCTTAGTTCTTCCTTCCTAATGTCACCTGTCTTAGTTCTTCCTTCCCGATGTCACCTGTCTTAGTTCTTCCTTCCCAGTGTCACCTGTCTTAGTTCTTCCTTCCCGATGTCACCTGTCTTAGTTCTTCCTTCCCAATGTCACCTGTCTTAGTTCTTTTTCCCGATGTCACCTGTCTTAGTTCTTCCTTCCCGATGTCACCTGTCTTAGTTCTTCCTTCCCGATGTCACCTGTCTTAGTTCTTCCTTCCCGATGTCACCTGTCTTAGTTCTTTTTCCCGATGTCACCTGTCTTAGTTCTTCCTTCCCGATGTCACCTGTCTTAGTTCTTCCTTCCCAGTGTCACCTGTCTTAGTTGCTTTGTCATTTGCTCATGAACACCTTATGTTCCCACTCCGACCAATTTCTCTTACACAGCTCTGTCTAACTGGGAGACAGTCTAATGTAGGGAAAGAGGATATAAAGTTGCTCAGACAGAGGGTTAAATTTCTTTTTTGTTTTCCTTTTTAGATAGAATCTCATTCTGTCACCCAGGCCACCTAGGCTAAAGTGCGGTGTTGCGATCTTGGCTCACTGCAACCTCCACCTCTGAGGTTCAAGTGATTCTCATGTCTCAGCCTCCTGAGTAGCCGGGACTACAGGCGTTCACCACCACACCCAGCTAATTTTTGTATTTTTCAGTAGAGACAGGGTTTTACCATGTTGGTCAGATTGTCCTCGAACTCCTGGCCTCAAGTCATCCGCCTGCCTCAGTCTCCCAAAGTGCTGGGATTACAGGTGTGCATCACCATAGCCAGCGTTCTTTATTTTTCTTCATTTTAATTTTTTATTGGTATAAATTTATGATGTATAAGTATAATTTTGTTATATGCATAGATTACATAGTGGTGAAGTCAGGGAGGGAGTTAAATTTCTATGTTACACTCTTGTGTGATTTTGGATGGTAACTTTGAAACCTTTTTAATTCTTAGCTTTCTTACCTGGAAAATGGGAATAACGATTCTTACCTCCATTGGGTCATTGTGAAGATTACATTAATATGTTTGCCTAAAATAGAATGTTTAATTAGGAGACCATGACAAGGAGAAAAATTAGAAGGAAGCTTTAAAAATTAGGTAAAAGATGATATGGATTTAAATTAGAATGGTAGAGAGAAAATGAAAAATAAAGCAGGAGATGATGTGAAAGAAAATCCACCTGCCCTGGCCACCGGTTGGAGGTGAAATGTGAAAGACGAAACCAACGACCCTGGCATTTGAAGCAAGCAGCTTAAAAAAAAAAAAAGTGAATAAAACCCCCCTCATTGTATTTCTTACATTACCTGGCATGCCACCTGTCTTAGTCTGTTCAGGCTGCTCCAGCAAAACACATCAGACTGGATAACATAACAGAAATTTGCCAGGCGCGGTGGCTCATGCCCATAATCTCAGCACTTTGGGATGCCGAGGCAGGTGGATCGCCTGAGGTCAGGAGTTTGAGACCAGCCTGGCCAACAAGGTGAAACCCCATCTCTACTAAATATACAAAAATTAGCTCAGTGTGATGGTGGGCACCTGTAATTACAGCTACCTGGAAGGCTGAGGCAGGAGAATCACTTGAACCCGGGAGGCAGAGGTTGCAGTGAACTGAGATTATACCACTGTACTCCAGCCGGGAGGACAGAGCAAGACTCTGTCTCAAAAAGCAAACAAAATAACAGCAATTAATTCCTTATAGAGACTGGGAAATCCAAGATCAGGGTTTTAGCAGATTTGGTGTCTGGTGAGGGCCAACTCTCTGCTTAATAGATGATGCCTTCTCACTGTGTGTTCACACGGTAGAATGAACTCGATAGCTCTTTGGTGTCTCTTTTATAAGGGCACTAATCTGATTAGTGAGGGCAGAGCCTTCAAGACCTCATCACCTTCCACATGCCCTACCTTCTAATACTAGCACACTAGGGATTAGGGTTCAACAAATGAGTTTCGGAGGTGGGGGAAACAAATATTCACATAAACCTTTCACATCGTAGGTTTTATATGGTGTTGAATGAATAAAGCATAAATTAAGAAAAAGTCTGAGAGTCTATATAGTAGAACATATATATAACACATGGCTATATAGGATTTATATTTTCTATTGGACTTTGAGTAACAGGCTATAGGTTTCATGTCTTTAATATATATCACATATCAATAACCATATAAGAGATGAGTCCTATGGCCTGTTCCCAAAGTCCAATGAGGTATTTAGAAGTGAGTGACAATGTAGTGTGTCCTAGGAGAAATATATATAATTATTGTGTAAAGTAGGCCTTTGATTATGTTCCTGAGGAAAAGAAGATGGATCTAGAGGATCAGAGAAGGTTACATGCACCTATATTCCTATGTCCACAGGTTTCAGAAGTTTGAAGGTAATGAGTGAGGACAAATTAGATATAGTTAGAAATTACTAATGGCTGCAATGCCATTTTCTTGATCATTGACAACCTGTAACCACATTGATCAAATGAATAGAAAGATGTGGAGGAGAATGAGTGCATACAAAATACCTCCCTCTTGCCCAGTTCTTGAAAACTAAAGCACATAGAATAAAGCTATGAGTGATTTTATTAATAGGGTGGATCTAAGACGCTATTGGTTGGAAAAAGAAGTATTGTGGTGACAAGTTTTGGGAAAGTGAATGTCTTGGTTGGCTTTGAGCTTCTCCTTGAAGATGGTGTCAAGAGCATTAGAAATTATGAATGACACATACCAACAATATAATGAAGATGAGTAATCTCATTCATTTTGCTGTGGTCTTATAGGAAGGAATTACTCTTGATGGGCTACAGGAAGTGCAAAGCTTAAAATAAGCAAATATGAGTTCTGTTCAAATTTTTATCCTATTGTTCAGCCTCACGGATACTGATGATTCATGATGGATGCTGCACAGGTCCCATTAGGTGAGAAGACACAAAAACCACTATACAGGGGCTGCTAGAGAAAATACCATTGATGTAGTGGCCGATTAAGTCTGATGTTGATGGTAAAATCAATGCAATAGATGGAAGACCTAGGATAAATAATCTAATTAGCTGCATAGCCTAGAAATTAAATAGGTTCAAGATTGGAGGAAGTCTCTGGAGAGATGCTCATAGGATTACAAAAGAAGTGGTGTGGTTCATGTTGATAGCCTTGACTGCAACTTTAAATACCTTCCTGTAAATGCAGACTCAAGAGTAAGATCAAAACTTTCTTAGGTACTTCAGGTTAAGCTATGATATGGTTTATGTTCTCTCTTCCTTCCTTTCCATTTTCTTGCTTCGACATTCCTCATTGATTACTTTTTGCCTTTGTCCTTCGTCTCTAACTTCCCATCTTACTCCTTGGATTTAACCATCCAGGAGGTGGGTGATCTTCCCAGTTCACATCTTGCACCCCTAAGGACTCAGCTCTGGGCACCTGCTTATTGGCTCTAGGAAGTGTCCAGACTCCCTAAGACCCACCAACCAATTCACCGTCCTTGATGTGGCCCCCGCTCTATTACACATAGATGTAAGGAGAGCATATCTATTTGGAGAGATTTGTTGTTTGCATTCTGAAATTTGCCATGTTTGGGTTAATAGCTTGTGTTGCAAAAGTGCTTGATTAATTTCCTCTTTTATTTTACCACTGTGCTTATTTTGTTTTCAATACTAAAAACAAAATATAAAATATATTAATATATAATTAAATATATCTTTTATAATAATAATTATATATATTATTATAATATATAATATTTTATAATATATAATTAAAAGTCTTAAGAGATTAGATAAATACCTGATAGAGAAAGGGGGGATCACATTCGTATATACTTAAATCTCACTTTTTAACGAACTTCCGCCCTTATCCATAGGAATTAATAATTTCTGATGGACAATTTGGCGTGATTTAATAAGTTCATAGAAAGTATGGCTTGTTAGCTTACGTGTTCTGTCATAGCAAGGGCAGGCCATATTGCAATGTTGCTATATCCTAGGACTTCCCCAATTTTTGTTTATTTGGCATGGAGATTTCTTGCAGAACTGTGTTTACAACTTAAGTTTAAGACCATCGAGAAATAAGGAATACCTGTTTATCCAATCTAGGACTTAGAAGAACTGCCTGTCAAATTGCGTGAAAGTGCATGAACAATAATGGATTAATTTCTTAAGATACCTGAAACATACTGTATACAAATTGACTTTACTGGTTTAGGATCATAAGTGTTTCCTTTCCCTGCCTCTCTCCTTTGTATGGAGTGTTGATTTACTTAATCAGGGGTTTTTAAGTTAAAAGACTTTAAGATAACATAAAAACTGAAAAAGTGCACAAATCATAAATGTACAGCTCACATTTTTGCAAAATGAACACAATCCTGTAATTAGCACCCAGCTCAAAGAATAGAACATCACTGGTTCCCCAAGCCATCATGTGACAGCTCATGATCCTGATTTAGAATTCCTAATCAAGATCTGCTTATTTTTAAGCTTTCAATACCCTTCATTTTTTGTTTTAAAAAAGAAGCAAATAATCCCATTGATGTAACAGTACCTCCAAGCATGTAATGGATGTAATACCTGGATGCTACACGTAGATGGAAATTTTGAGGCACATGCTCACCACACTAGCATTGGTGGAATTTGAGAGATGTTTTAGAATTTCTTAGTTCTTTTTATTCTTATTTAAATAGAGTTTTTCATGACAATGAGTATGTGAAGTTTACCAAAAAAAAAAGCATTTTTTAAGAAACTCTAGTGCTTTAGAATGTCTTTGGACACGCCTTTGGAATGTCTTATGATGGGCATTGGCCAGGGTATTTTTTAAATCACTTGGCAACCGAGTCCATGCCCTAGACACTTTGTGCCCTTAGCGGGGAGGAGTTCTGTGCTCCTGTGAGAGGTGCTCTAAGTTGTCGGCAAGAGGTGGCAGAGAGAATGCTTCACTCTTGGCTTTATACAGAAGCTTACAGCTGAGCTACTAAATGTACTGGAAACAGTTGCAAATTAGCAGAGTTACATTATAAATAGCAAAGATTACAGATATGTCACAGTTAACTTTCTGTTTATCTTTGTAAGGAATAAGTTTAATCAGAAATAATGTAATAGCCTTTCTAGGTCTTTCACACTGAGATATCACTGATACTTCAATTTTGGCAGAGGATCCATTTTAAAGGGTTGCCAAGCACAGTGGTGAGACCTCCTGGGCTCTGACAGAAGGTGGGCTCAGTGGCTCCCCTGCTTAGGATGGCCCACCATGTTCCTCAGGAAAACGGGTGTCGGATTCCTTTTTTCCAAAGCTTTCTATTACTGTTACTTTAAAATGTGTCAAAGTAATATATATCCTTATGCACTCTAAAGTCAGGAAATATAAATTCTTATTTAATCTTAAGGGAAGATGATAAAGGGCTGATTACTCTAAATCTGACTTATAACCGAGGAAACTAAGACAAGCTTAGCAAGCTAAATTAATTTTTTTTTAAGTTTTTTTCTGACTGCTAAAGAAACACATGGTAATTTCAGAAGATTCATAACATGGCGAAAAGAAAAATCATTTAGGGCTAACAACTGTTGGTTTTATGTAGACAGATATATAATCTAGCCTTTTTCATACACACACACACACACACACACACAACACATGACACACGTACTAAACACATACCACACACATTTTTACTAATGGCAGTAGGTTAAATCTTTCATCAATTATATACTCACAGTATCCTGCATTTTGCTTCATAGCACTTATTACTATTTTAAATTGTTACTATTTGTACTGTTATCCTATTGCACTGTTGATTGCTAGCACCCTGCATGGCACATGTCGTATTTGTTGAAACAAACAGTGAATATTATACATTCTGCTTAGTCCTGATTTTTTCAACTTATTATAGCTATTCCATACCAATAAACACAACTCACACAAATGTAACTCATCATTTTAATGGACGTGGATGCTTTTCCAATTTTCTTTCCAAGTTACTATTTATAATAATGCTGAATGGGCATGTTTGTATATACAAATTTAAGCAATCGCCCAATCCAGTTCTCTTTGTATTTCACTCATACAGTATCAAGGGGGTGAGTGACCTGATTTTAAAAGTGTGAAGGAAAGTAATGGACAGAGCAGTAGGAGGAGGCGGAGTGAGGGAGAGGGAGAGATGAGTGTTTTCAGAAAAAACCTAGTGTTCTATGCTCAGCATGTGGATTGTGTTTAGTTTGTGAGTTAAGAAGGCTGGAAGAGGAGGAAGAGAAGTCTGTGGATGAGTCTCTCAAGGTAGCAGGTGTCTTGTATCTCAGATCCCTTTTAGCTAAAATCTCTGTGATTCTGGGGCCGGATCCTTTGCAGGGCAAGGACTGTCTATACAATTTTGCTCTTCATATGGTCCACTTGACCCTCATAATTGGTTAACTGCATTAGATGATGATAAATGGATTATAGTCTATACCTGATCAGTTTACGATACAGTCAGCCTCATGCTCAGTCTTTATTCCACATCAAGCACTGATGATTTAGGAACTACACTTAGGTGGGGTGTAGCCTGCCCCACCCAGCATTCTAAGGGGTCATTCCAACCCCACAACACAGAACAGCATTGTCAGCTGGTCCCAATGAATTCCCGTGACCAGCAACCAACTTTCAAGCTCCTACATACTTGGTGAAATCTTATTTCCTTCCACCAACGTGACTCAAAATCATGCTACTGCCTAAAAAGGGATGAATAGAAATATCTATCTGAAAAAAACCTAAAATTCCTTTTATTAAGGAATGTTTCAAGTAATTGTCTAGTTTATCTCAGATTGAACTATATCCTGTAACTCCTTCTGCTTGCCAGTATCTTGGGCAGGTGCTCCATTTATCCCCTATTCTATGTGCTAAGTGCTTCCAATTATTATGTACAGTGATATTTAAAGGATTAAAATATATACAAAAACACCCAACACTGGGCTTAGCACCCAGGAGGTATTTAGTGCCTAACTGTAATCTGGAGTTTCCCAAACTGAGCCTTGGCCAGTGGAGAACTTTCCCCTGCTTGCGGCTTACACTGTCCCTGTTTCTCTTTCGCTTAATACTTGTGGAACAGGAGGATTTTGTTTTGTTTCGTTTCGTTCTCACACATATTTAGCACTTATTGCAGGCATGACCCTTATTCTGGGAAACTGGAGTTTAACAAAAAGTTTCCGATTTCATGGAGTTTTAATCCAGGGAGAGACAAGACAAATGCATTTGTTTATACCTGCAGCCCATCGTGTGCTTCCCAGAAAATTGGATGGCCAGATAGAACAGCCATTTCTGCAGAAAGACATCATCTCTCAACTTGATGGTAAATGCCTTCCTTTCTTCCTCTCTGGCTTCCCTCATGTTTATTCAACAGTAGGTATTTATGGACTGCTAGCTGCTCACCAGATTCTATGCTCTTCTCTTTTCCCTGGACACGTGGCTAATCTTCATTTTCTCACTAGTGCCTGAGATCAGGCCAACTACATGTAGGCAGAAGTGATGTGGGCTTGTGCCAGGCCTGCCCGTGAACGTGCCTCTGTGCTTTTTTCCCATTCTACTGGTCGAATGGGAAACCCTGAATGGCCAAGGTTACTTGGAAGCCATGAGTTGAACATGGTGAAGATAACCATCAGCCTCGGTCTCTGAATGACCTTGTTGAACAAAGCCCCCTTCCCCTGCTCCTTCCCCACATGCAATTGACTTGGACTCTATGTGAGCAAGAAATAAACTTTGCTTGTCTTTGAGCCATTCTACATTTTAATCTATTTGTTAAGCAGTGAGTGAGGTACCTTAATTTTATCAAGTCCCCGGTAGGTCTTAGGTGCTATGCCAGGTGGTGGGGATACAGTGGCAACCAAAATAAACATGTAAACAAACATGAGCGAACTAAACAATAATCATATAAACAAAACAGAAATATACATATTGAGATAAGTGCAATGAAGGAAATTAACAGGGTGATAAGAGTGACAAGCTGGGGAAGGGGCAGCTGGCTGTCAACTAGACTTTGAATGAAGCATAAGTTTTGACTCCTAAATAGGGATTGTTGGTTAAATTCTGAAAGTAGGAAACTAATTATCAATTAAAGGAGGATACAGGAAAATTGCAGAAACCTAGGACAGCACCCTGACTCCCCTTTTAACCTATTCCAAAATACTACTACTGCAAATGGTTAAAAATTCCAAAAGGCCAGGTGTGGTGGCTCATGCCTGTAATCGCAGCACTTTGGGAGGGAAGAGGTCAGGAGTTCAAGACCAATCTGGCCAACATGGAGAAACTCCGTCTCTACTAACAATGCAAAAATTAGCTGGGTGTGGTGACACGTGCCAGTATTCCACGTACTCAGGAGACTGAGGCAAGAGAGTCGCTTGAACTGGGGAGGCGGAGGTTGCAGTGAGCCAGATCACACCATTACACTCCAACCTGGGTGACAAGAACGAAACTCCATCTCAAAATAAAAAAATTTGCCAGGCGTGGCAGCTCAGGCCTATAGTTCCGGCTATTTAGGAGGCTGAGGCAGGAGAATTGCTTGAACCCAGGAGGCAGAGGTTGCAGTGAGCCAAGACTGCGCTGTTGCACTCCAGCCTAGGCAACAGAGAGAGACTCTATCTCAGAAAAAAATATATATAATATATAAATTCTATATATTAATAAATAATATATATTAACATGTATATTAATTCTAATGTGCAAACAACCAGACATGCTGTCATGCCATCCCTGACTAGGGGTTACCCCCAAGTGGACCTCATATACCTTATGCATCCAGAGGAGAGTTTGGGGACTTTTAAAAAGTTCCTCGTTAGTATCAGGCACCATAATCAAGGATGCCTATGAATGCCCCAAAACTCTTGTAACCCTCTTCACTATTTTGCAACCAATGGAATAAATGATAACTTAGACTCCCGTAAAGGTAAAAAATGGGAAGGGTAGAGACAAGTGCAGATTTTTAAAATGAAAGGAAGAGGTAATGCTCCTCTACGATAGCACCATTTGTTGCTTAACGAGTCTGGAGCTTATTCAGTAGCACAGTGGTGAGAGCATGCACTCAGCTCTGCCAAGCACTTGGTATGATGTGATCTTGGGCCCGTTTCTTAACTTCTCTGTGCCTCAGTTTGTTTATAATCATAGCTAGTTCAAAGGGTGACATGAGAATTAGATGAGTTAATGTTTATGAAACACAGGATATTGATGAAGCTGACAACATAGTACTTACTTAGATGTTTGTAAACTAAATTCTTTTAAATTCTTTTTTTTTTTTTTTTCTTTTTGAGACCAAAATTTGCTCTGTTGCCTAGGCTGGAGTGCAGTGGCCGAATCTTGGCTCACTGCAACTCTGCCTCCTGGGTTCAAGCGATTCTCCTACCCCAGCCACCCTAGTAGCTGGGGTTACAAGTACACACCACACACCCGGCTAATTTTTGTATTTTTAGTAGAGACAAGGTTTTTCCATGTTGGCCAGGCTGGTCTCGAACTCCTGACCTCAGGTGATCCACCTATCTCGGCTTCCCAAAGTGCTGGGATTACAGGCGTGAGCCACCATGCCCGACCTGTAAACTAAATTCTTACAGAGCAGAGATAGGAGGGTAAAGGATGAGGATGAGTGAACCACAGGGCATCACTTCTTTGGCAGGAGGTGGGTGCCATGGTCATAAAATCTGCTGGTCACTTACTAGGAAGAGAGGCGTGTGTGGGACATGCCAATAAAATACTGATCCACCCCAGTTACTTTCGCTTTAAATGTGTGTGATCTGTGCCATCATCACTGGTCTCCCTCCAGTCCCAACTAATTGTGGTCTCTTTAAGTACAGAATTTTGAAACAGTAGAGATCTTATAGATCATCTTGTACCTCCCCTTCTTCAGGATACGTAGGTCTCAGAAAGTGAAGTGACATACCGAGATCACATATAAACCTCTGACAGAGGGGTTTAACTTCCAGGACTCCTGGTTTGGCGCCCTGATACCCCATTCTCCCTTGCTTTGTCTAACCATACGTTGTCTAATGGTTTAGACTCATAATCCAAATCCATGATTCCAAGAGGCTTCTTTTTGTTCTTTTAAATTTCTGACTTTTAGAAAATGTCTTAGAATAAATATCAAATGTAATAGAAATATTTGCTTCCGTGGTAGTGGGTAGAACATGGTGCAACCTCTTGATGGTCTAAACTGTAAGATTTTTGTTTTTCAAAAGTTGAACACTAAGGCAATGACAAGACACATTGCCAGTTAGAACTTAAAGCAAGTGGCACATGAGCTTGTATCCAAATCCTTAACCCCTTAAGGTGAGCATATTCTAAAAACTTAGCTCAGTAAACGTCAAATCTCTTTAAAATTAGCTTGCATTTATAGGCTGGTTGTCTTCAGTCATACTTTTTTTGTCTGCATCCTTTGGATAAAAGGCTTTTTGGGTCTGTGGATTTGAGCTATTGTCTTTAATAATTAACTTAGTTTTGTCGTAAAGATAAATTTTTTTTTAAAAAAAGGTGAATTCTAAGAACAATTACATATTAAAACAGTTGCTCATGGAGATCTTGATATAAAATGACCCTACCACTTAAACATTTATGACGGGCATGTGGACTCTGGAGGCAAGGAGATGAAAATTGCAATTCTGAATGGATTTTTTGACAGGGCAAAAAGAATGATGTGATTGCGTTTCCAAGTGGAATGAATGCCATTTAGATGATTAGAGGACGAAAAATAAGACCTATGAAAGAAATGTTAAAGTAAATGGGATTATTTTACTTTGGAAATGGAGAAGCATAGAGTGATTTAATATGCATTTGAGTGTCTGAAGGATTGTTGTAGCAGAAGCTGGTGACCATCGAGTTTCCATTCCTCCCGTGAACAGAAAGAGGGGGTGGGCTTTTAATTGCATTGGGGATTTGGGTAAGACACAAGAACAAGAACACTTTTCTGATAGGGAAGGCTATTAGATACTCTAATGGATTTTGAAAGTTGTCAGACATTTTTTGAGGATCCACTGTGTGCAGATCATTGTATTTGTGAATGGAGTTTTTTGGTTTTTTTTTTCTCTACTGCTTTTTATAAGTAAGTCAAAGCCTTACCTTTCTGGGTTGGTTTCTATGAGATTCTACTTTAAGGCACAGAGTAGTGATCATGATTTCTCTAAAGTAACTTTAATCTTATGCTTCCCATGTCAAAGCTAGAAAAGAACTAAAAGTAAGTACATTCTCATTACTTCTAGCAGTTACATACATACATAAATGTAAAGTCACCATAAACACTGAATTAGTGGATGCTGACCAATTGCTTTTATAGGAAATACAAGGCTAGGCTTCTCCAAGCCTCTGGTCGCATTTTTTTCAGCTGGTCAATACATAACCTTGTTTTATGTGTGTTTCTGTTTAAAGACACCTTATTTGATACATATCATTGATTCGTTAACACTGAACTCACAGCCAACAGTGCTATAACTTATGCCTGAACAAAGCTTATGTAAAATACATGTTTTCTCCATAAGGCATGTCACAGCCTCCTGGCATTTAGGAACATTATACAGCACTTCAATGCTACACCTGGGGGACATTTTAAACAGCCTAATCACCAACAAAAGGCACACAGATGCTAAGACCTTGTGGTTTTAGCGTTCTAATAGATCACAAAAAGATTATAGCAGCCGAGCGGAAACAAGAGAGCACAGTGTCACCTTGTTTGACCTCAGCTGGGAGTGCATGCACTAGGGACTCAGATTTTTCACCACTCTGCACATGACTGCAAATGACCATCAAAGCCCCATGAGTATCGATTTTAGGGTTACAAAACATTTTAGCAAGTAGATGAATTTGCAAATAAGAAATCCATGGCCGGGCACGGTGGCTCAAGCCTGTAATCCCAGCACTTTGGGAGGCCGAGATGGGCGGATCACGAGGTCAGGAGATCGAGACCATCCTAGATAACACGGTAAAACCCCATCTCTACTAAAAAATACAAAAAAAAACTAGCTGGGCGAGGTGGCGGGCGCCTGTAGTCCCAGCGACTTGGGAGGCTGAGGCAGGAGAATGGCGTGAACCCGGGAGGCGGAGCTTGCAGTGAGCTCAGATCCGGCCACTGCACTCCAGCCTGGGCGACAGAGTGAGACTCTGTCTCAAAAAAAAAAAAAAAAAAACAAGGAAAAAAATAATAAAGGAAATCCATGAATAATTTGGGTTGACTAACTACTGTGTGTTCCGACTTTTTGTCAAAGCAGTTATCTTCATTTCAATTTAATATAAACATGTTATTGTGCAGCTGTTTAAAAAATGGGGGCTGGGAAGTGGGGAGGGACAGCATCAGGAAAAATAACTAATGCACACGGGCTT